CAGCTCATGGAAGTATAGTTTCGTTCAACATTTCGCCAAACGTCGACGGACATTGTTTGTGTTGGCTGCACCTCAAGATGGAAATGCAGTAAGGATCGCATATTAGATTCATGTCAAGTCGTGAACGAGCATCGCGAGCTAAAACTCTTTCGAGGCAGTCTTACGCACTGGTAATGGAAGAACATTGATTTTGAAACCTGTGAAAATGCAGAAGCATATACCTGCTTCCTCGGCTGTAGACACGCGTTCGAGGATCCTAACGCAATGGTATGGGATGGGATGACGCCTGTGCTTCATCTATCCGACCGCCAGCTATCTCTCGGGCATCATCAGAGTCGGCTGTAGCTCTAGATTCCAAAACTTTGTTACGACCACGGGGGATCATAACCTGTTCGTAGAGTTGAAGAACCCATTGAAGGTCTTCCTTTGCTTGAATGCCTTTGATCAAGCCCTCTCCGAGATCGCACGCGTCAAGAAGAGCAGTTGTGGCTCCCATTCCTCTAAAAGGCACCTGTCATTCATCGTCAGGCAAGGAGTTGCTCTTTCACAGTGACCGAGGTATATACATACCATTGAATGAGCGGCGTCGCCAATCAAAGTGACGCGGCCTCTCGGCAAGTTTCGAGGTGGAAGCACAGTCTCCATCAGTCTAACTGGCGGCCACTGTAGATCTGACGGTTCACACTGTGCCAAAGCGTTGACCATTGCTGGAGGCCAGTCTTTCATACGTTGCCTTGCCATCTCCAATTGAGCTGCTGGACCAGCCTCAACCGTTTTGGCATAGTCTTCCTCCAAGTTGCTGGACCGCCAGGACACAGTCCAGTTGAAGATAGCAGTATCATTGTCCAAATACTTCATCAGGAGACAGTATGTCTTTTGATCGGGTCCGCCAGCGAGGATACCGTTCGCTGAGTGCTCGAGCAAAGGTTCATAAAGGTCCTTGGATAGGACAACTCTACCCAGGGCTGTGAGGAAAGGACTGGGATCTGGCTTGAATCCCCGGAGAAACTGAGCGCGCACTGGGGAATTTGATCCATCTGCACCAACCAAGATATGACCGCGGGTGCTGGTGCCATCTTTGAAGTATGCAGTCACCCCGTCACGGTCTTCCTCATAACGCACAAATTGTTTGGAATATTGCACGTTGAGGTGAGTTTGGAGTACCTCGCGGAACTTGAGACGGTTCACGAATAGAATGGGTACCTTTCCACCCTCGTGCTTTGTTTTTGTAAGTCCTAGAATTTGGTGACTTGGCCCATCCATGATAGTGAAACAATCTATTGTGTCTTTGCGATGGAAATTCGGGCTGCTGCTGGCCAGTTCAGGTAGATCTGTTGGAAGAAGTCGGTAGAGACCTGCTAAACACCTAATTGTTTTCGTTAGTCTACCTTGTTGAACTTGCACTGTGAATCAACAAACTCATCCAAGCCTATCGTCCAACCCTGGGATCGAGTCCCGTCGTCGCGTTCAAATATTTCGAATTGTACATTTCCCTTGCGGAGTATCTGTGCCAATGCAACTCCTGATAGTCCAGATCCGACTATGAGGACCTTTGTTGCTGGTTCCAGGGCCGCCATTTTGCTTCTGCTTCTGCTTCTGCTTCTGCTTTGCTGCCTCCGTCAATTCTAGATGGGTCGAGGTTTGAGCAACTGACCAAAGAGATTAAGCATATTCAAATTCGCATTTAGGATGTAATTTTGGCAGCTAAAGAACTGGTTTGCATGGGGATTTGAGCTTTAAGGACAACTTGGAGCTAATTGGAAAAGAAAATCAACATAAACACCTAGGTAGTTTTCCCCAGGAAGCCAGACACCCTCTTCGCATGATTGACCGCTCCTGCCCAGATACAATATAGGAATAATCTCGGATAACCTCTGATCGACCTGCATATACTCATGGCCTGGTGTCTCCACATTTTGCCGAGTCTGTGTGAAGGGAAGCAGGCGTCTCTGTTGCCACCAAGTTCTAGGTTCCTCTTGTCTCGGAAGACAGCGCGGAATTTCGGGACCCGAATATTCAGCGGTGGCCACCAACGGCAATTGCACAAGCGATCAGCTGTTTATATGGCATCGAAACAGCCTGGAATCGAAGACGCAATACCAATAATGAACCAATTGTATTTCAAGGAATCAATTAGACCCGGCGCGAAACCTGCATCTGGTGGAGCAAGTTCTCACTCGTGGAAATTTATGGACAGTTACAAGGTTCGCCACCTGCATAAAGGTATTGGGAGCGTGATGAATCTGATGGCAAGATTGCAGGACAAATATGCTACCATGTATCGGGTGACAGGTTTGGTAATTTTCTGATCTCGGCTCAACCGCGAGATATCAGGTCTATCAGAGCACAAGCTCGATCGCTGTATGGCGATTGTGGGAGTCTGACGAGGTCTGCGCACAGATCATCCACCGAAAATGCCTCTGGGATATTCCTCAAGAACCACCGCCAAGGCTTCAAGTTCTCGTGCGTGTTCATCATGTGCCAGCACTCGACTACGTCAAGACGCAATAAGAATTTTCTGTCTTCCTTGGCCTGGGTCGACAGAACGCCGGAGCGACGACTGCCGTACTCCGGCTCGTCCAACATCATCATCTCAATGGGATTCTGTCTCATTGTTAGCAACGTACTGGTATATCGTGGATCAAGACGGTGCTGATTACAACATACCAACATGGCTTTGGTGGTGAGCATTAAGAACCAGTCAAAGGGTCGGGATGTGTCGCAATGCCACAAAAAATCTCTCTCTATCTTCCTAACAGATTCTTCCACTAAATTTCTTCGTCGAACACCGATTGAGATGCTGTTCTCGGACGTGTTGGGGCTGCGGTTTAGAAGCTCCAGCTTCCCGGTGAGACGGACCACCTCCAGATGGACGAGGAAGAGAGACATCTGTGTCAGACCTTGCCTTGCCTTCGGCATTTCCTCTGTCACGGACATGAGATCGATATCATTTATATTCAGCGGAGGCGGCACATCAGACAAAGGTATTGGTTCTTCAACATCCCACCCGGGCTTTTGAGCGCACTGGTACCACAGCCTACATAGGGTCCACCAACAGCGGCGTCTGATCTCAGTATCATACGGAGGACAAGTTGCATCTTCTGCTTTTCCTATTCCAATAAGGCCGGCTATGTGGAACGCAAGTTTGAAAGCATCCGTGAACGTGGCTTGGTCGTCATCAAGACGCCGATGTAGGGAAACCTATATTCACCTCATCAGTTCTTTAGGTGTCTCAGAGCCTTGCAAGGTTTCCCGCAAGAGCTGAAACATACTGCGTATAAAACTAAGGCTTGCAGGAGACGTGTGCCCGGTTGCTGGAGCCCGTCTGGAAGCGATAATGTGGTTTGTATGCTAACTGTGAGGCGCGAATTCAATGCCTCTCTACCTTCATCGAATTGTTGGGTGATCTCATCATCAGTGAGAGCGCTGACTGCAGCAAAGCAGACACTGAACATCAGTGTTCGCGCCCCCGGCTCGGGCACCTTTGCTTCTTGGGCTGTCAGGATGAGCAGGTCCTCGAACCAGGCGTAGGGGACTAATTTGGTGAGTGGTTCGACACGAGTCATGTATATGTGCCAAAGCTCGAAAATCTGACCTTTAGGAGGCTGAAAAGGAATGGCGCCCGCAAACTGGGTCCTTTGAGCTGTGTTGAAAACTGGATCGCTGAAATGTTTGTCTGTCGCTGTCCGAATGAGGTCGCAAGACGAAATCGGGCTCGCTAGCATCTCAGCGCACTGAGAGTCAAAAACGTGTGATGTTTCACCGGGTGTGATATTGTCGTCAATGTAACATTGCCGCACTGAAGCGAAGGTAGATATGGCGCCTGTAGAAGCTGAACTTTGAAGCTTCCTCTCCAGTTCTTCGCAGCGAACCGTCATAATCCGTGCAATCTCTTCGAGCTCCTTTTCGCGGGCGCTTTTCCCTTTCTTGTAAGGCCCTCTCGGTTTCCCCTTTGGACGCTCATGATTCGGCGCGATGCCCGTGGTTGACCTCGATGAGGACGGATATCTGCACGGGAGGTTGATTTGGAGACAACGCGTGCAGCTCTGTGCGAGGCGGTCACATTTCACCTTCCGTCTGTGGCAGGAGAAACAGGCGGTCCGGCATCGATCCTGCACATCGGTCTGCCCCGAAATCAAGCTCATAGATACTACAGCCACGCGCCGAGAAAGAGGAGAAAAGAGGAGTTGATAAAACAACCACCTGCTCTGCTCGTACGGAATGGATGAGACTTGTGGCATGGAGATGATTTGGGCTTTTCTTTTAGCTAGATCTTTTTCGATCTGGACATGCCCCGGTCAGCGCGGGGTTGCGAGGCCAAATTCCGCACTGCTTTCCCAGTTCCCCAGGATTGAAGGAAGCAAAAATACGGAGTACGATGGTGGAACCTTCTTCTTGCCGAAGGAGGGGGACATGGAATATATTTATTCCGCCCCCTCCCACTGTTTGCATATTTCTCGGCGTCGATGGTCTATCGGAGTGGCGGCTCATATTGTACACATCCGTCTTGAGCCTTGCAGTGTCTTCGTTTCTCTTGATCTTGCTTTCAAAGATAATCGCCCCGCAGACCGATATCCGAAGGAATACCTATTGTCTCTGTCCTTTGTTGATTGCCTCTCGTGCCACCTTCATTCTTGTCTTGGACTCTCGGTACTTGTCCTGGGAATGCTCGATGGAACTTCGACCCAGCAGAAGTGATATCCTTCATCAATTTTCACAGCTCTGTCAGGCCATAGTAAGTTGCAGCCGCCGTGTCTGGTTTGTATCCGCAGGTACAGTGTTGCTAATCGTAAGTGCTACTTCATATGTTGCGGGGTACGACTTGGCGTGAGTTAGTCCATATCCGGACTATGCTTCTTTGATTTGAGGACAATGCGCAAAGTTTTGACTCCAGCCTTCACATTGCCCACTTTCGACGGCACCTTCTTCTCACTGTTCAAATCCAGTGGATGAAGCCTACAGGAAAAAGCGATGGAAGTCCCCATGCACCACTTGTGGAATCAAAAGCTGACTTGAAATCGCGGATGGGTTCTCAGCCGGGCACCGTATCTCATGAAAACAAATGGCAAAGGGACCATTGCAAGCGCGATGAATCCCAGCACGCTGTTTCCCCAGCCCAGTCCAAGGCCGGAGTATAATGGCCGTCCCGCGAGCGGGAGCAGGGCTCCAGTAAGTGAACGAACGACGGTATTCGCTGCTGTGACACTCGCAGCAAAGAGCGGATAGCAGTCGACGAGGTACGTTTGGACGGCCATCTAAAACAGTGACTTGTCAGCAGAGAACCCTAGAACGAAAAGGAGCCAGTCCTCACGAAAATGCCCATTAGCCCAAGTCCGACCCAGCCCGTCCCAATGATAGGCATGATCCAATGGATCTGCTTGTCCGTGGACCATCCGTACCAAAACAGCCCAATTGGGATGCAGATTGCAGCCGGAATCAAGCCTTCAAGCCTGACTTCTGGCGACACATCGCCTTTCTCTTTTTTCTTCTGTATGCGCTTGTCACTTGTAGCGCCGAACAACACCAAACCTATGAACATGCCAACACCGATACCTAGGAACGACAGGCCCGCAAGGCCTGTTGAGAAGCCGTATATACTCTCGTAGACCTCGGTAATTGTGGTGAAGAGGAGGTAGAGGTAGCCGTAAATGATGGAGACGTAGATCTAGGGACATTTGGCGGTTAGAGGTCGCTAATATTGGGTATGTGAGGCGTGACATACGACAAATATAAAGACAATCGGGGACATGCAGAACATCTTGGTCGGGCGGATCAGGGCCTTTGCAAGCGCCGTTCGAGGAGAATCTGCCGTCGACATCTTCGACCTGTATTGCAAATTGCCAGTCGATTTTCGGAGCTTGGCAGCTTTTCTCTCGAGAAGAACTGGAGCATACGACTCCTTCATGAACAGCAAACACAACACCGTTACCATCCCAGCCTAGCTGCGGTCAGCGGACAAAATACTGAAAGCAATCCAGGGCCACCACCTACTGCCATGCTAATGACCCAGAAAACCCAACGCCAACCGGCGTTCTGAGACAGAAAGGCACCTGCAACCGGTCCTGATCAAAAGTAAATCAATACATGCATAACGAAGGAGCTCGGTAAGTGGTCACAGTTTTTGTGATCGTACCTGCTACTGGACCAATTAACGGACCCATCGCAAATATCGCCATCTTCGAACCTCTCTGTTCTCTCGCATACAGATCTGCCACACTTCCTCCACCCAGCACCAGGGGTGCAGACCCGGCGGACCCTGCCAGAAATCGGAAGCCGATGAGACTGTCCAGCGATGGTGCCACCGCACAAGCGATGGTGAAGATGATGAACAGGACGTTTGTGATCTGGTAGACAGGCCACCGGCCGTAGATTTCCGACATGGGAGCACAGACGAGAGGACCAAATGCGTATCCGATCAGATACACAGAGACCACAAATGACGCCAGAATGACGCTGGAGCTGTTGAAATCATTCATTACTTTTGGGATTCCTGGTGCGAACATGGAGGATGCGAGCGGGCTGGAAATCCGGGTCAGCTATCCGAAGGTTCGGACATGAGAAATTGCTCAGACTGGGGACATACGTGACAAAAGTCAAACACGAAAGCAGAGCGATATTAATGGCCTTGCGCCGAGACGGCCAGTTCATAGGATTCGCAGGGTCATCATCTCCGTCCCAGTCGACGATCAAATCAGTTGTCGGAAGAGCCTCTTCAAAGGTCTCCTTAGTCTCCTCTGCCATGTTGGATAATTCGTCGGCGTTGCCTGACATTTTGGTACGCTTGGAAGAATCGTGAAGCCATCCACGGCAGAGTACATGTACTTTTGGGTCTACCCGAGGAAATACGGGCGAAAGAATCCGAGCTAGCGGGAACGACGTTTGGAAAAAAGAGAAAGGGTCAAATGCCGTCCAAACGGCCCGAGGCTCGCTTGGAGATTCGAGTTGTGCAAGTTGTGCGTGATTATGCAAAAGATGGATCAAATCTATATGGTGATTGGGTGGAAGGAGTCAGAATGCGGGGCTGGCATATATTGTGGGCTCGTGTATCATTCTCAAAAGGGACTAGTATACGCCAAAATGTTACCCGACCGTCGCTTAGCCAACCCAATGAACTGCGCGGTCAGATCTCCTCTCTCGGCAGAGAGAATCCCGAATCCTTGAAATAGAGAGGCTTCTCTTCCCCTTCCCATTTGCCGAACAGCTCGAGAAGGTCTGCATGACAACCTTGAACCGTGGGTTTTCCCAGCTCACGGCGATTCTATCAACCTTGCGTTCATCGTTCAGGTTACCAAGCATGTCCGGCTACTTGATCGGCCTCGTCCAGATCGAGGGAATCAGGACCTTCAGCAAGCCGCCATGACCAGAGCTCCAAGCGAACTTTGTGAAGAGTGGGCAGCCATGCATATATCAAATCTCATCCCAGGCTCATGAATGCTGTGATTCATTTTGCTGGAGGCATTTGCCATCCTCCAGGCAAACAAGCTGCTACGGTAGGTGCCAACGAAGGATCCCACGATTAGGAATGGATAGGATACACGGTTAAAAAAGGCATCGAGGAGGTAAGGGACTGGGAACGGTCAACGGGGGTGGTACACATGGACACAGGTGCTTAAAATCCGGGTACACCGTATCCAACCTTGGCAACCTCTATATTATCGGAAGCGCCCAGGGCCTTGGTTTCGTGGGGATTTGGGCGATACTTGTGGCCATGGGTGGACATTCATATCATGATATTTTGCGTGCCCCGAAGACGTCATGCACGTTCAATGTTCAGGGTATTCCAGTGCAAGGTGTCAGACAGCAGGTGAACATGCTCCGTCGGTGTACTGTCTGCCTGGACATGGCCTTCAGGTTCAATGGATTGCGGCAAAACCTATGCCGAGAGTCACAACACGAAGCAACACATATACGAGAACATAAAAAGTCCTGGCTAGGATATTCATTCCCGGTCCATTCGAGAACACGTCTTGGACTCCTTCATCTTCAGCACATCCAACGTTCCGAGAAGAATCTTCGTCATTTACTCTCAGAGACTCCACATATCCACAGGTAAATTCAGGTCAAGTGTCGTGTACGGGGTCGTCCGTATTCCTTGGCGTGGATTTCCAACTACTAGCGCCAGAAATCTCGACCTCAGTCAGTGTCAAGCCCTGCATACCTTTTGCCAACACCAACCGCAACCTCGACTAGTATATGACGATGTCTCAATGGCGAGCTCGGCAAATGCAAACAAAGTAGAAAAATTCCTGACAAACCCCAGCCTTGCTCCCGGCGAGGAACGCCTATCTCCCCTCCTCCCCACCACATCCCCACCACATCAATGATTCTCCGCCCAAGGCTCCCCGCCGGGCCCATTTCCTTGCTTCAATCACAGGTACCATAAAAGAGATCTTCTTCCGCTGGTCGACTTCTGAGAATAGATTTGCATATTTGGGTCGTCCTAATTTTCTTCTTTCCATTTCCGTCTCTTTTGAAGTCGAGGATGGGGCTCTCTTTGGCTGATCCCGTGGATGACCCTAGACATTTGCGGTTTGCCGGCGCAGCAAATGGAAAACAACAACAACCAGTTTGTGTGGAAGTCCCGGTGGTGATTATTGGCGGAGGACCTGCAGGGCTTCTGCAAGCCCGACTCTTATCCCAGCTGGGAGGCAAGTCTAGGGTACACCAACGACGAAGAGTCACTATTGACGGCCGGAAGTAAAATGTCTCATAGTAGAAAGATACCCCGAAAGATTGGGCGCGCCCAAAGCACATGCATTGTCGCCGAGATCTCTGGAGATATGTCGACAATTCAATTTGGACGTGAGCAAGTTGCGACGGCTCGGGACAAGGAGGCGCGATGCCTTTTGGGTCAATTTTCTCACCAATTTAAGTGGTCAACAAGTCGGTGTTCTGCCTTATGAACGCATGGACGTTGGGGTGCTGAGTCACACGCCTGAAGCAAGTTGTGAATCCTAATTGAAGCTTGCAGCCATTTCCACTGACGAGCGAAGATGATCCATAACATTCCACAGCCAGTTTTTGAGGAATTTATCACGGACGTGCTTGCGAAAGACTCGAATGTTGATCTTCGCAAAGGGGTTTCGTTTGTATCATTGGAACAAGTAAGTGATGTCATGAACCCCCCATGGCGTAGGGATGCTCATTTGAAGGACTCAGAAGGGGTTATAACGACCGTGGAGGAGCGTGCTACCGGGCATCTATTCCAAATCCGATCGAAGTATTTCATCGCCTGTGACGGCGCACGGAGTAAAGTTCGCAGCTTCCTGAGGATCGAGAGTGATGGCGAGGATTCATGTAAGCCCTTACAAATGGCGCAATACTGGGCGAGACTGACAGTTCAGATGAAACAATGATGACTATCCACTTCAATGCTGATCTTCGTCCCATCGTGGGGGAGAGGGTCGGCATGCTGCATTGGATAATGGATCCTTTGGCGTCCGGGTTCATCATTGCATACGACCTTTCAGGGAACGCTGTCTTGATCAGCAATTTTGACGTAAGTGGATTCCGATGGTCAGGAGCGTGGTTTTAACCACAATACTGGGTATCCAGGCGAATAAATACCCAATTGAAAGCTGGAACCAAGAACTTTGCCGCAAGGTCGTGGTCAGCGCTCTGGGAACAGACGTGCCGTTTGATATTCATAGCTACCGGCCCTGGGTGCTGAGTCGGAAAGTAGCAAGATCCTATCGAGTGGGAAATGTCTTTTTGTAAGTCACATCCTTTGGGCCAGGTCATAACTCTAACGGACCAGAGCTGGAGATGCTGCCCACTCTTTTCCTCCAACAGGCGGTCTCGGGTTGAACTCTGGTTTGGCAGATGTCCACAATTTGGCGTACAAGCTTGCGTTTGTCCTCAAGGGACAAGCTGGAGACAGCCTTCTCAACACATATGAATCGGAGCGACGACATGTAGCCGTTGTCAACTCGATGCAAAGCGTAAAGAACGGAAGGAAAATTTTCGCACTTCTCAAGACGTTAGGTCTCGGCGATGACCTGATGATGGCGAGAAGGAACCTGTATTCCAATATTAAAGATCCCCAGAAGATGAAGGTGATTGACGAAGGTGTTGAAGATCAAAGAGAGCACTTCGACAACGTATGCCTCTCCCAATATGCGATTTGGTTTCTACTGACAGCATCATCAGCTCGAGCTTCACATCGGATATGTCTACGGCAGCAAAGAGATACCTCCACATGCTTCGAAGTATACGCCCAAGTTCGAAGTGGGCGCAAGACTTCCTCATGCGTGGATTCGCCTGCCACGCAGCAGTCTGCAGCCTGTTGATGTCTCCTACGTCGACGAATTTTCACCGGCAGACATAGAATCCTACCGCTATAGTACACTGGATCTATGTGATTTTGACAAATTCACCCTGGTAGGAGATCTCGATGTCCCTGGCGTCAAGACCTGCCGAGCGGGTCGCGATTTTGAGGTCATTGGTGAGGCAGGCCAGAAGTGGTTATCGGCGGCCAGACTGAATGCAGGAGGCGGATTACTTGTGCGGCCGGACCAACATATTCTGATGGTGTTGGATGCTGGCACCACGATAGAAGAGGTACAGAGTTGTTTGAACGCACACTTGGGTGTTTGAAAAGCGGCGGGATTGTTCGGCGATACCGAGCCTAGTAGGCCAGACCAGATTTATGGCCTGGATACCTAGGTAGGTACCTACATGTAGTTCTGTGTGTAATTGCAAGCACAATACTTAGGCACCCAGTATGTACCTATCCTCCACTTGTAGGTATGTCGTGGTAGGTAGCTTTCGGGGGGCTACCTCCCCGAGCCCGGGACTGGGGGCCGAAGCCAAGCTTACCTAGGTGAGTAGCTTACAATGGCTGGGGTTGCCTCCCTAGCCCTCTAGCCCACTAGTCCCAGTCACATGCCACAGTAGGTGCCCGCTAACAAGTAATAGGCTGCGTCCCCCTTCCTCTTCCTTTGGGCTTGTTCCATTTTCTTCCTTTCCATCAGATTCTGCTCAGCTTCCACTTCAGTGGCCAACGGCCATCAGAGGGCAAACTAATGCTGGGTGCATTTCCTCCGGAGCCAACGGAAAACCAATGGAGCAACTAGCCAGCGGTAACGTAAGGTTGATTCACCTAATACTGAGGCCACGCCATGGGTTGCTGCATCCTTCTGCCTACGAGACTGGTCAACAACCCTCAGATGACGCCAGCCTTCAGCCTCACTTCGACATATCAGAGGTAAACGTGTCTTTGGTCCCTTTGGTACGAGACAGGGACAGGGTCATGGACAGGGCCAGGTCCTGGCAAAAGAACACCTCGGAGCACTGCCTCGCAGGATCAAAATGGTCGGCCACATTCGGTGAAGAATCCTGCCACACTTTGACTGGATTCCAACCTTATCGGTGTATGCAGTTACTCTGCCAGAGTGCCCTGTTCTGTTGATAATCTTAGCGCAAATGAGGTTGCACCCGAATGTCGTCAAGAGAATGGGGAGATGTTTGTTCCGTCTATATTATTTCGATCGCTGTGACTGAAAAGGCGGAAGAATGGATAGCTGCAAAGAAGATCAGGCTGCCTTACGAGCAGCTTCGCCAAGGCCTGGCATTGCCTTCAGACGACCCAGGGTTCGACCTGCCCTGGTCCTCTGAATCACTCTCCTTCAGCCTCACAGTAGCGAAGGTTCATTTATAAGAACCGTCTCAAAGCTCCTACCCGAACTATCACTCATACCCTACGGCTTGCTCCTGGGAATGTCAGCTTCTTTCCTTGCCTC